CCCCGCAGCAGCAGGAGATGCTCGAGGTCCCGCAGCATGGGGAGGTGCTCATGGCCATGCAGCATGGGGAGATGCTCGAGGTCCCGCAGCATGGGGAAGTGCTCGAGGTCCCGCAGAAGCAGGAGATGTTCGTGGCCACACAGCATGGGGAGATGCTTGAGGTCCCACAGCATGGGGAGATGCTTGAGGTCCCCCAGCATGGGGAGATGCTCGAGGTCCCACAGCAGCAGGAGATGCTCACGGCCCCTTGCAGCCCCTCGGCCTTTATTCAGGCAAAGCTGCGGCCGCCCCACGATTCATAAACAAACATTCACGTGATTTTAAAGCAAAGAATCTTGTGAGAATGAAAGGTTTTCTGAGTCACCCCCAGCTCCTTCCAGCTTTAAAAATTCAGTGATGCCATAGAGTTGGAAACATTCTTCTTTTAAAAATACATGCTGTGGAATAATCAAGAGCACAGACAGTACACAAAGCTAAATTTAATTGCATTTCAGTTTACTGCTGCATCTGAAATAGCTGTTTTTCCAATAGCTATCTTGAATCCCAACTTTACAGTCCCCATGATACAAGAAGTCTGGCAAAACTTCAAGTCCAGGCCACTGTTTTACAGATGGAGTTGCGGCCGCTCATGAACTCTCGTGTATGGATGTGGCCCGTAGCAGGCATCGCAAGCTAGAAAGCCAGGATATTTTATCTGGCTGCTTGTGCATGGGAAATTCTCTTTATCCTAGAATCTTTTCCTAGTCCTCACCCCCTGCACTCAGTCTGCAAGAGGCCCAACTTTGGTAAATTCACTAAAAATACAGAGATGTGCAGTCCCACGCGCACACCTCCCTGGAAAAGGCGTACGAGTGCTTCAACAGAACGCTGCTGGATGTCATGGGCTGCGGATAAGCCATGGGAATATCCTGAGGGTAGAGAGAGCGATGAGTGTTTCCCTGTGTTTCTGAAATGTGCACGCGTAAATCCCCAAGCATGGTGTAAAATTCCCACAGAGCTGCCCGTTTGGTGTACTGGTTTTCAGAGGAACACACGCTGAGAGGCAGGATGGTACATTTTACAGCATTTAAGTCAACAAGTCTCCGGAGACAGAACGCGGAAACACAAGCGACGCGCAGAATTATTTGGTCCCGAACACTTTGTCCAAGTTCACTGTCAGTGAGGCCACTGGTTGGCTGCAGCGCACCACAGTGCTACGCATCCATCTTAAGATGCGGGTGAAATACTGCTACGCTCTTCGGTAACGTCATGCCACCAGTTACACCAGCTGGCTGCCTCAACCGTGCTCTTGGCCACGGTACTTTCGTTAATTAAAAAAAACAGAAAACAAACCCAAAACCTAGTCCCCAGAGTGACTGTAGTAAATAAACTCACGGAAAAACACAGCTGAAGCCCGTTGTCGCGTCAAGCATCCCTGCTCTGCTGGCGCAGACCGGCTTGTCGGGGCTCGGCGCCAGGCTGCCCTGATGGCTGTGGCTTCGGTTTGGGAGCTCCAGCATCAAAGCATTACTGGGAGGGAAAAAAGAGCCAGAAAAGCCGGCTGGCACACAGACAGAGAAAGAAGGGAGGAACAACAACTT